TGCGCGCGGCCCCGAGACGCCGCCTGGCCCACGGCTCCAGCCTCCACGACGGCGACGCCGCGGGCGGCGTGGCCTGGGCCTGTTTCCTGCTGGGGGAGCGCGCCCTGGTGCGCGTGCGCGGGCCCGACTCGGCGCCCTTCCTCCTGGGGCTGCTGACCAATGAGCTGCCGCTTCCGGGTCCCGCGGACGGCGCAGGCCCGCCCGCGGCGCGTGCGGGCTACGCCCACTTCCTCAACGTCCAGGGTCGCACGCTCTATGACGTCATTCTTTACGGGTGAGGGCGGGCGGGGAGGAGCGGGGGGCACCCGGGGGAGGGCATGGGGGGAGCCCAGGGGGAGGGGGGCATCCGGGGAAGGGGTGGCACCCGGGGGGAGGGGAGGACACCCGGTGGAGGGGGGCACCCAGGGGAGGGATACTCAGGGGAGGGGCGCACCCGGGAGAGGGCGTGCACCTGGGGTAGGGGAGGACACCCAGGGAGAGAGGGGGACATCTGGGACAGGGCAGGCACCAGGGGGGAAGAGAGGACACCCGGGGGGGGCACTCAGAGGAAGGGGCACCCCGGGGGAGGGGCCGACCCCCGGGGGAGGGGCACCTGGGCGGGGCGGTCATAGGTGGGCCAGAGTGGTCCCCAGGGACGGGCCATGGACTCGCACTCTCGCGCGCACCCTCCGCTCCTGCTCAGCCCTGCCCAGGTCACCCTCTCCCCAGTGCATGGAAAAGGGGTCCGTGGCACCTGGTCCACGACTCAGAGAACTGCCTCTGTGTGACCAGCTGTGCCACGCCCTCCCTGGTTCTCCGTGTAAGCCGCATTTCCCCCACATGTCCCGGTGCCCAGCGATAGCGGTGTTCCGTGCGGATGCCATCATGGCTGTACTTGGTGGTCGTTGCACCGGGTTCCCTGTCGCCCTCTGCAGTTCCAGGCAGTCGTGTGTCGGGAAGCCACATGCTAGGCTCCCCTCTGACCTGACCATCCCTCTCCCCCCTGCGCCCGCCTGAGAACACGGCCGCCCTCTCCTGTCGTGGGTCCCTCTCCGTCGTGGGTCCGCCCGCCTCTTCCGCAGTTTACTCCGTCTTCTGGAAGAGCGCGTTCTTTAGTGGCTCGTTGGGAAGTGGGATACTTCAGGTGCGCCTTTGACTCGTTGCATCTCTGCAAATGGTTCTACCTGCCAGCGGGGCTGGGCATCAAACTCTGGGCTGGAAACTGTCCCCGAGAAGTTGAAGCTGATACCTGACTGCCCTGCTCCGCTCTGTCTCTTTTGAGCGGTCTGGTGCCTCCCTGCCGGCCTTTGTGTGTGCTGCTTTTTCCCTGGAAGCTCTTGTGGGGGGGTCTTCATCTTGGTGGGCTGGTGCCTCATGATGCTGTGTCGAGTTCTGGGTCGTCTGAGTTTTGTGGCCGCGCACTTGGTGGGCTCTATGACTCTGGAACAGGCTCCATAAAGTTTGGCCTCGGGCAGATCCAGCCCGATGCCTGTTTTCATAAATGTAGTTTTGCTGGAACGCTGCCAGGGCCGTTTGCATACTGTCCAGCGCAACTTTGCCTCGCTCGCAGAACTGATAGGGACCGTGTGGCCCAAGCCTAAATCATTGACTGGCCCTCTGCAGAAAATCTTTGTGACCCCTGCTGTGTCCTGTTTCCAAGATGCTGTCATCATCGTCTGTCTCACGTATGGATTCCCTTCCCTCCGGTGCTGTAGTGTCTTTGTCTTACAAACTGCGTTCTCTGAATATCTTGAACTTTCTGTCAGTAATTTTCAGTAGCATCTGTTCTGATCATTACTGGTTTGAATTTATCGGCATTGTAATGATGCTGTTTTGATCCTCAAATTTCTTTCCTTGTGTCTACAATCTGCCTTTACATCTTTTTGCCTTTTCATTCTTGTTATAATAAGTTTATATTCTCGTAAATTTTCCTTAACTGTAAAAAAAACCAGCCAGTTATCTTACCAGCAAAATGAGTTTATTCAGCAGTAGCCGAAGAATTCCAGTTCAGGACGTGCAGGCTGTGGCAGACCATAGGCAAATCCAACAAATTATTTTACAGGGAAAAAGGAGAAAGTTGGGAGGGGTTGTTTTGAACAGAAGTCCATTGGAGAAAAGCAAGAGTTCAGGGTGGTGATGGTTTCTCATGGGCTGAGTTGCTGGGGTCGTTTGGGATGCAATGTACATTTCTTCCTCTAATCGACTGTCTTTCTTATGGATGACTTTCTGTTGGGGTCTGTAATTGACCTCGAGCAGTATGGCGTGGGAGCTCCCCCTTCTGGCCTCCTGGCTCCATTTTTTTTTTTTATTGTGAAGATCAGCCCTGAGCTAACATCCATGCCCATCTTCCTCCACTTTCTATGGGACGCCGCCACAGCATGGCCTGACAAGTGGTGCGTCGGTGCGCGCCCGGCATCCGAACCCGGGCCGCCAGCAGGAGCTCAGGCACTTAACCTATACGCTACCGGGCCGGCCCCTCCTGACTCCATTTTAAATGAGGTTTCCCTTTATTAATTTTTATTTCGCTCTCCAGCATAAGGCAATTTCTTTTTGTTTTTTGGTTTTTTCCTCCTTGTGCTTTCCCTCTGGTCCGGAGCATCTGCCTGGCTGCTAGGCTACAGTTCGTGTCCCCATGCATGCTCTTGACAGCCCTTTCCAGACGTGGCGTGGGCCCTGATGTGTCCTGGAGAGGAGTTGTTTTTCTCGCCAGCTGATTCCTGAGAACGGGGAACCGTGGTGCCACTCGCTGTTCAGTGTGCTGAGAGAATGGGGGGCCACCAAGGGTGACGCCCCCTGACCGCAGTCTCCCTGCTGAGATTCCAACTCAAAGTTGTGTGCGGGGAGCACTGCCCGGAGGGATGGGGTGTCATTCCGCCAGAGAGAGACGTCCCCGAGTTAGAGGCCCCACTTCTCCTGAGCAGGGAGGAGGGAGGAGGGCAGGACACCCCCTCGGATGGCTGTTCCCTGGCCTGGGCGATTGGTGGCCCTGGGGGGGTTGGTGGGCGGCGTCCAGATCTCTCCCAGTTCTGCTCTGTGGCGTGGGGTGCTGGGGGCCGAGCCTGCTGGCCTTCCACACCGTCCGAGCCCCTTTTCTGGCCTGACGCCTCGGTTAGTTCATGGGCGCACTCTTGCCCTGCCTGCTTGCTGTTGGCTGTTTTCTTATGTCTGATCTCACAGAGTCCCATGCTCTGGGGAGCGGCCGGCCGCCTGCCTGGAAGCCTGGCCTTCCTGCTTTCTGCCGGCTCCCTCCCTGTGGGCGTCTTCTCCGCAGGCTCTCTCTCTGGGATCTTTTAGTTCAACTCTCGTGCTCCTGGTTTCCCATCTTCGAGTTGTTTCTTCCTCAAGGCACCCTCTTCTCGTTTCGTGGATGCAGCACCTTCTCTCAGAGGAAGCTTTAGTTGTTTGTTTTTAGAGTAGACTTTTTGAAGCAGTTTTAGGTGCCCAGCATAATTGACGGGAAGGCACAGAGATTTCTCACGCACCCACAGCCTCCCCCAGTATCCACACCCCACCAGAGTGGTGCATTTGTACAGTTGATGAACCGACACGGGCACCTCATCATCCAGAGTCCATAGTGGGGAGTCCATAGTAGGGTTCACACTTGGTGTTGTGCATTCTGTGGGTATGAACAAACGTACAGTGACATGGATCCACCATCGCAGTATCATACAGTGTAGTTTCACTGTCCTGAAAATCCTCTGTGCTCCTCCCACTTACCCCTCCCTCCCCTAACCCCTGACTATCACTGAAAGGATCTCTCCCGGTCTCCAGAGTTCTGCCTTTTCCAGAATGCCATATGGTTGGAATCATACAGTATGGAGCTGTTTCAGGTTGGCTTATTTCACTTAGTCATATGCACTTAAGGATCCTCCGTGTCTTTTCGTGGCTTGATAGCTCATTTCTTTATCATGCTGAAGAACAGTCCACTGTCTTCAGTGGCTGTCCCACAGTTTATGTACATATCCATTCGCCTACTGAAGGACACTTCGGTGGCTTCTGAAGGACACCTTGGTTGCTTCCAAGTTTTGGCAGTTATGAACAAAGCTGCTGTAAACATCCGTGTGCGGGTTTTTGTGTGGACATAAGTTTTTAGCTCCTTTGGGTAAATGCGAAAGGGCATGATTGCTGGGATATATGGTGAGAATATGTTTAGTTTTGTAAAAAACTGCCAAACTGTCTTCCGGAGTAGTTGCAGCCTTTTGCATTTCCAGCATCAGTGAAGGCGAGTTCTGTTGCTCTGCATCCTTGCCAGCATTTGGTGTTTTGGGCCATTCTAGTAGGTGTGTGGTGGTGGCTTGTTGTTTCAGTCTGCGTTTCCCTGAGGACAAGTGATGTGGAGCATCTTTTCATGTGCTCATTCGCCATCTGTGTATTTTCTTTGGTGAGGTGTCTGTTAAAATCGTGGCCCATTTTTTAATCGGATTGTTTGTTACCTTGTTGTTGAGTTTTAGGTGGTCTTGGTCTGTTTTGGATGACGGTGTTTTGTTCATGTGTCTGAAGTCTTTTCTCCCTTCCCTGGCTTGTCTTTTCATCCCCTCAGACTGTAGTTTTTGAAAGTCTTTTGTCACTCTGACCACGTGTTTCCTGGGCCTCTGTCTTCACACTGCAGACCTTCCTCACGTGCTGGCGCTGAAGCAGATGCTTCGGTTCTGGTCCTGGCTGCGCTGCCTTCTGTGGGGTGCCCTCAAGTCTGCATCTGCTGGTCTCTGGGGGCCGTCCCACTGGGGCTGCCCCCCGAGGATGGGATGGTCCACTGCTCCCTTGTTTCCAGGCGGGGTGCACACCCTTGCCTCCATGTCTGGTTCCCTTGGCACAGGCCGCCATGGTCCCTAGGCACCCCCAGCAGAGGGAGGGTGGGGAGTGGGGCTGGGTGTGCTTCTGCCCAGGACCGTGCTCAGCTGCTGTCTGACCTGAATCTCCCCCATGCTCCTGCCGTGGCTGACTGCTTCCAGCCTCGTGGGAGCGTGCAGGGGCTGCGTCCTGAGTCCCCCACAGGCACCCTGCAGGCTGCTCTCCCGGGGCACTCGGAGCATAGCAGCCTGACGGGAGGCTGCTGGGATCTTCCTCGTATCATCCTGCAGCCCAGTGCCCTGGCGAGTGCCCCCACTCCTCGGCAGGGTGTGCGCGTCTGTCTCCGGGCACCTGTGTCCTGAGCCTGCCCACGCCTGGCACTGCCCAGGTCCTCCTGGGCCTGTTTATTTCTGAAGTCCCTGGCCCCAGGCAGAGCAGGGTCCAGGGCTGCACTTGGGAGAGGCGTCCCTGCGCATATGGGGGTGGTGGATTCCAGGATGGCAGGCACTCCTGGAGGAGGGTGCTTTATGCTTCCAGGTGAGGGGTTGGGTGGGCTTGAACCTCCCTTTATGGGTTTTCACACAGCTTGCACCCTGGACTGGAGGGTGGGTGAGGGTGGACGCCTGGGGTCACTCTGCTGCCACGTGTTGCATCCAGGTCCTGCCTGGCCAGGCCGGCTGGTGAGGCCACAGCTGCCTCTCGACCTCCCTCTTCCTGTGGCTACCGTTGTGCCCCCAGGAGGGGCCGCCGGGCTTAACAGAGAGAAGGCAGGATACCCAGGTCAGTCTCAGACCGGCAGTGGCTTTTTAGGGAAGGATGTCCTGCACAGTGTTTGGGAAATGCTTACACTAAAAACATTATCTGCTGTTTATCTGAAATTCAGATTTGGCTGGGCATCCTGTAGTTTATCTGGCAGCCCTGCCAAGGGGCCCTGGGCAACATCTGGGGACATTTGTGGTTGTCACTCGGGGGTTGGGGATGTGGCTGCTCCTGGCATTGAGTGGGCCAGGCCCAGGGGTGCTCTTGGCTCCCTTCAGCGCCCAGGACGGCCCCACGGAGAATGCTAGGCCCAAACGTCGGCTGTGCCAGGCCAAGAAAGCTGCCCTGGGCACAGGCTCACCCTGACTCACCCCTTTGGCTGACCTGTGCCCCGTTACTCAGCTGTGGCAGGGGTTGGGGGGACAGGGGTGCACTGCAGCCCTGTCAGTCCCGAGGGGTTGCCAAGCGCGGGCACACATGGCTCAGAAAGTGCCTGCGCCCAGCACCTGGCCCTGTCTACCCCAGCCTGCCTCAAACCCTGTGGAACATCCACCTGGCAAGTGAGACAGGTGTCAGCCCGGGCCCAACCACCATGCACTCTGGTGGCCTCTTCACCAGCCCTTCCTGGGGCCTGTCCCCTGGCTGGGTCACCTCCCTCCCTGGCCAGGACCCTCTGATGTTCGCTCTCCCCCGTGACCTCACATTCTGCACCCCCATGCCCGACTCTTCCCTCGCCAGTATTTCATGCTGTTTTTGCTGTCTCTACCGAAGTCTTAAGAAATAAAAGTATACCTGCACGTGGTTTAAAAACCCGACAATATTAAAAGGTTTATGATGGAAAATGACCGTCTTGCCTCCCTTCTCACTGGCATGGACGCATCCTACCCAGAGGCAGCTCCTTTTTTCTAATTAACTTTTTATTTTGAAATAATGATGGATTCACAGGAAGCTGCGAAAAAAATGAACAGGGAGGTCCCAGGGACCCTCACCCAGTTCCCCACACTCGGGGGATGGACACTGGCCACCCAGGGAGTGGATGCAGGTACCTCCAGACTCCAGGTGCTCACGGGCCTGTGTGCGTGCATCAGTGCGGCTGATCACGCGTGTGGACCTGTGTCACCCCATCAGGACAGTTGTGCCATCACACCAGGCCCCCTGTGCTCCACAGGCCACGAGCCTGCTCTCCCTCGTCTCCGTCGTGTCACTTGGGGAATGTTGACAAACGAGTCTGAGATGGGGTGTTTCACTCCCCTTGATGCCCTTCAGACCATCCGCTGGCGGTGGTCCTTCCCCTGCCGCGTGGTGTCCCATCGGGACGGCCACAGCTTGCTCTCGTGCTTCGGCCGTTAGGAATGTGCCCTCTGGCGCTGGAGGTCGGGTCCTCGTGGACGTGTTGGCCTCTCTCTGGGAGTGAGGCCGGGAGCGCGGGTGCTGTGTCACATGGTGGCCACGCTGGGGTTTTATGAGGAACCATTTCTACCCCCTCCGAGACGCTGAGTGACCAGCCTCCGAGGCCTTGCTGTGTCCACTCCCACCCTGGTGCAGCAGTGCTGTCTCATAGCTGCTGTCATTGTGTTTGCCCCTGACAAACGGTGCTCACTTGCCACGGCGCCTTTGAACCCTTCCAGCCGTGTCTTCTAGCATGGGAACCCATCTCTGTGACGGTCATGCCCACCCCTCGGCCTCATCTGTGACATTCTGCGGGGACTGGAATGTGAGGAGCCGGCCTGCTCCTCCCCTCTCCTTACACCTTGTTCCGGTCCTGAGGACACAGGGCTGCTGATGATGTAGCCAGGGAGTGGACAACAGGTGCACGCTCCAGGGTGAGCCCACACACACGGCACACTCATCGTGCCTCCACAGCTCTTTCCTCTGGGGTTGGGGGTGGCGCTGGCTGACGGGCCCCTGGAGTGAGGGGGGGACACTGGCTGATGGGCTCTTGGGATGAAGTGGGGACATCGGCTGGCAGGCTTTCTCTCCTGGACCTCTTCCTGGAGGGTCTTACTTCGCTGTCTCAACCCGCACCATCTCGGGTTCTCAATCCACATGTACAACCAGGACTGGCACCATGTACTCGTGTGGGTCCTGGAGGTCCCCACTTAGTCCCCCTTTCACGTCTAACCCTGCAGCGGCCTCTTCTCTGTCTCTTCTGTGCTCATCTCTCCGTAAGGGCCCGGACGGCCATCTGGTCACTACACCAGGATCCCAGGTCATCTGGCCTGCGGGTTAGGATGGTCTGGGGCTCTGGTCGGTTCTGGGGCTCACCTTGGGGAGGAGGTGGGTGGTGGGCATGGCCAGGGTGTGGCCTTATTGCGTCCCTCATCTCTGGCATATCTGCTGTCCCCCCAGCTCCTCCCACCCACATCCCTCCTGAAATCTGCATGCGCCCGGCCTTAGGACTCTTGGTTTCCCGGGTCCTTAGTGTGGCCGTCCGCACCTTTCCGCCTCACCTGGAGCGAAGGACACCACTGTGGGCACCCCCAGCCTGCTCCCCACGTGCCGTGCGGCGGCCACTCTTCCACCGAGCGGACTACCCCGTGTGGTTTCTGCCCGGCTGGCGTGACGCCCCTGTCACGCGCGTGGTTCTGCTTGCGCCCCGGCGGGAGGGTCCTGCGGAGCCCACTGCGTCTCCAGCGCTCCGTGCTGCGCAGCGGTTCCGGTGGTCCGGGGGCGGTGCGTCCCTGTAGCGGTGGTTCGGCTCAGCGCACTGGCCCCAGTGGTGCGCCCAGTCCGCACCCACGCGTCCCACGCGCCCCTGCCTCTCCCCGCAGGCTCCTGGAGCGCACGGACCAGGCGCCCGCCTTCCTCCTGGAGTGCGACAGCTCGGTGCTGGGCGCGCTGCAGAGGCACCTGGCACTGCACAGGATCCGGCGGAAGGTCACTGTGGAGCCGTGCCCCGAGCTGCGCGTGTGGGCCGTGCTGCCCCACGCCCCGGAGGAGGCGGGCGGGGCCGCGCCGCTGCAGGAGCAGGCCCGGGGCGCCGCCATCCTCGCCCGCGACCCCCGGACCGCCCGCATGGGTTGGCGGCTCCTCGCCCAGGACGAGGGCCCGGCCTTGGTGCCCGGGGGCCGGCTTGGGGACCTCCGGGATTATCACCGGCACCGGTACCGGCAAGGTATGGGAGCAGGGCTGGTCTGGGCGGTGCTGGACTTGCGGAGAGGGGCAGGGAGGGAGGGGCGGGCATGTGGGGGCTGGACCGTGGCTGGGGGGGCCAGTGAGGGGGCAGGGCAGGACTACAGCCCTGGGGAAGCCGCGTGGTGGGCCAGGCGCGGGAGGAGCGAAGAGATCAGGGGTCGGGGCGAGGGGTCATCTCCTCTACTGTCTACGGCAAGGCCGGACCGAGGTGCTCACCCGGGGACCAGAGGATGGGGGGCCCGGAAAATGGGGGCGAAGGATGGGGCTCCCACCTGCGGCGGGAGGGGCTCCACACCCAGCACCCCGGTTGAGTGCTTCGGCTCTGGAGAACACCTCAGCTCTCACTGAGCCTCCCCTCCCGCCCCGACAGGCGTTCCCGAGGGCGTCCATGACCTGCCCCCAGGAGTGGCCCTGCCCCTGGAGTCCAACCTGGCCTTCATGAATGGCGTCAGCTTCACGAAGGGCTGCTACATCGGCCAGGAGCTGACGGCGCGTACCCACCACATGGGCGTCGTGCGCAAGCGCCTCTTCCCGGTGCGGCTCTCGGGGCCCCTCCCTGCGGGCGGCATCGCCCCCGGCACCTCCGTGCTTACCCAGTCGGGGCAGGCCGCCGGCAAGTACAGGGCGGGCCAGGGGGACGTGGGGCTGGCCCTGCTGCGGTCGGAGAAAATCAGGGGCCCTCTGCACATCAGAACGGCCGAGAGTGGCCGGGTGGCTCTCACCGCGTCTGTGCCGGACTGGTGGCCCACAGCCACCAAGTAGCCCTGGACGTCCCTGCGCTCCCGCAGGCCCCAGAGGGTCTCTGCCTGTCCGCCTCGCCCTGTAGACCGGCCCCCACTTCCCAGAGTGACCCGGCTGAACACACACCCCTCTGGGAGGTCCCAAGTGTACGTGGGCTCCCGGGCTGCAGGGGCGCGGGCACCTGCTGCGGCCGAGCGTTCCCAGCCCGCGTCCTTCCTGCGGAGGGCCCAACGCTCAGCGTGGGCGGCCCTGTGCCGGGGGCGGGAGAAGCAGGCTCCGTGCCCACCTCTGTGCTGAGCTGAGCCCCAGCTTCCCCCAGACCCTGGACGACGTTCCAAACTGGGTCAGTCTGGATGGTGTTCGTCTGTCAGCGAGGACAGGACGCTCCAGGGCCTTGCTCCGGACTGCCCGCAGCCCCTCGGCCGGCTCCCAGTCTGGGATTGGGCTGCGGAGGGGACTCTGGGAATTGTCTTAAGCGTTGGCTGGGCGGCACTGCCGCCGGAGGGAACCGTGTGGGACTGGGTGGGCTGGCAGCCTCTGTGTGTGGAGGAGGCCCATCCCCTGGACCCCCAGTGCCTGAGTCCTCCAGGGGCACCTCTGCACTCAGGGGTGCTGGCTGTGGGAACCCAGACACCACGTCTCTGCAGCTTGGGCCCCCCCCACCCCCGTGGCTTCAGCAGCCCCTTCTCCTCCCAGGCCAGTGCGAGCGCAGGGACGGCTGGTTTCCTCCTTTCAACTGCTGATTTTTGTTGTCTCGCTGCAGTGTGGGTCTCGTGGTTGTGGGGCATCCTGCTGATGCCCCAGAGTGACTATTAAAGTGTGACCCCAAGCGGCTCCCGTGGACTCTGGCTTCATTTTGGGTGGAAGGAGCTAGGCTGGTTCTGAGTGGACTAGATACATCGAGAAGCTCTGCCTCAGACACGAGAGCACACAGATAGAATATGTTAGCAGAGTACTTGGGTTTGCGGACCGATGAGAAGGGAAGAGGCCTCAGAGGCCAGGACAGTGAGTGAGCGTTGAGTCCAGAGGAGATTGGGGCGTTGGGGGCTCTGAGCCATGGTTTGTGGGCCCAGGGCAAGAGGCGGCCAGGCCATTGGAGCGGGGCCCACGGAACCGGGAGGGGAGGGCTGAGCGGGGAGGGAGCCATCCTGATGCCAGGCAGATCTAGTAGGACCTCTACGAGAACTTGCAGTCAGATGCAGCCTGGAGTCGCCCCAGGAGGAGGTGGGGGGGGGCGCTGGGCACCAGGGGGAGAGGGAGGCTCGGGGGTGGCAGTGGGGAGGGCCCGCCGGCCCGACAAGGCGAGGCTCCTCCTCAGGCCAGCAGAAACCGGGCACTTCTGACCCCCATTACTGAGAGCATCTGGTCAGGCCGGGCACCGTCCTGGGCGTGTCTCCTGGGGTGAACAGAGTTAAGAAAGCAGGTCAGCCTCTGACCCGCAGGAATGGCGTGGTCCTCACGACACGGAAGGACGCAGGAGCCCCTTGCTGACGGTGCTGCGGTCACCACCTGCTCCGGGGAGGGGGTCTCGGAGCCAAGGCCAGAGCAGCCACCCGTGTCTCGGCTCTGCCCGTGGCGCCCTCGTTCACGTTTGTTTCTTTAACCGACCATCGATGGGGTGGTGTGGAAGTGAGTGTCCGTCCCTCAGCCTGTGGGATGGTCCAGGGGCTCCAGAGTGTGCCGGAGCGTCACCTCCCTTTCCAGCTGCAGGCTGGGCCGTGCTCCTCCGGCTGTGACCAGAGCCCAGGAGCCAGCCTGCAGCATGGCGGTCCCTCGGAAGTGGGACCTGCTGCCCTGTGAGTTAACAACGCCCAGGGCTGCTCACTGTGGCCCCGGGCCGGGAGCCCGACGTCCTCTCCGGGCAGCGGTGCGGGCGCCGGGCTGTCTGCAGCAGCAGCTCTGGTGGCATGCAGCCTCGGAGGTGCCGTGTGCCACATGTGTCCTTGGTTCTCCAGGTTCCTGGGACCCTCCTGTATTTGGTTCAGGTCTGAAGAAAGCACATTCCTGTCCTACCTCAGTGCTTCCAGGAGGAAGGTGCCACGCCGCACAGCTCCCTTCGTCGGACAAACCCAGGAGGTTTCCACAGAAGCACCAGTGCTTCAGAAATCTCTGGCTTTGAGGAGCTCTGCGTGGGGCACCTGGAGCAGGCGGCAGAGGGGCACTCAGAGTTTCCCTTTACACTCACCTCCAGTTTCATAGACCGGGTCTTTGGAACTGCTGCAGGTACTTGTGAAGCTCTTTGCTAGTTTTCATAGATGCTTCAGTTTGTTTTGTAAAAAGTATAAAGTTCTGAAAAATAAGCTTCAGAGTGAAAAAAAAAAAAAAGTAAGCCCAGTGGTAGTATTTCCAGGAGCCTGGCATGTGCCCTCGTCCAGCTCAGGCCTTGGTTCCAAGGAATATGCCTTCGTTGTTAAAAAACTGAAAATCCCAGAAACACTCATTTAACCCCCAAAGAAACAAGAGTCAGCAGAAAAACAGTGAAATCAAACCCACAAATTTTCAGATACTGGAATAACCAGACACATAAAGTAAGTATATTTAATGTATTTTAAGAAGTAAAATAAAGAATTTAAAAATTATTAAGAAGGAAGAGACTATAAAAATGAACAAGCAGAGAACTTCTAGAAATAAAAATATTTAAAAAAAAATGCATGGATATATTTTCTGAAGAATTGGGAAACGTTCCATCTGAAGAAAGATCCAGGAATGAAGAGATGGTCCTGGAATGTAGGCAGCAGTGATACTTAATCTCAAGTTCAGGTGTCTGATGCGCAGCAAGCCAAACACTGAGACATCGTGCTCGGAGATGGAGGAAGGCCCCATTCGAGTTGGCCAAGACGAGAAGGTGGGAGCCTGGGTTTGCTCAAATCCGCCTCCACCACAGCAAAAGGCAGGGGGTTTATAGAGCTAAGGGGCTTGGCAGGAGGAGCTTCGGAGAAACAAAGGGGTCGCTCCCGCTAAGCCCCTGTGCAGTCTGATTTCTGGGCTGCAGCGGCTGCTGGGGGCAGGCCATCCAGTGATCACAACCTCCCAAAGGCTTTCTCTTTCTTCTGCAAAACAAGCTCACAAACCCTCGAGACCCGAGTCACCCCTCAAGTTAAACCAGAAAACAGCAAATTGACAAGATTCATCTATGTCTGTGCTGGGAACAAGGTCGAAAGGCAACTGTGTTCTCATTGAACATCTACAGTAACTCTCAGGTCCCTGCTTCAGAAGGACAAAGAGATGGAAATAGGTTAGGAGATGGGAGAAGGGAGAGGTTTAATGTCACGTAGTGATTTAAGTGGAGTTGCAGAGGGAGAGGCGAGAACATGGGCCAGAGGCAATTTTCAAAGAAATAATGGCTGAAAACTTTCCAGAATTGATGAAAGTCGTCAGTTGTTAGGTTCAGGAAGCCCAATGGGTCCCCAGCAGCGTGAATAAAAAGTTCTACCCTGCACATCTTAGTGAAAGTGCAGAACCAGAGACAGGAAGATCTTAAAAGTAGGCAGAGAGAAAAAAAATTTTTTTTTTAATCTGGCTTATCAAAAGCAACAGTTGTGGGGGGGCCGGCCCGGTGGCACAAGCGGTTAAGTACACGCTCTGCTGTGGCGGCCCGGGGTTTGCCGGTTCAGATCCCGGGTGCGCACCGATGCACTGCTTGGCAAGCCATGCTGTGGCGGCGTCCCATATAAAGTGGAGGAAGATGGGCATGGATGTTAGCCCAGGGCCAGTCTTCCTCAGCAAAAAGAGAAGGATTGGCAGATGTTAGCACAGGACTGATCTTCCTCACACACACACACAAAAAAAGCAACAATGGGAGCCAGAAGGAAAGTGAATAATATCTTAAATGTACTGAGAGAAAAATTAACAGCCGAAAATTGTATACCAGCAAAACTGTCATTCTGAAATAAGACATTCTGATACTATGATATTGTGATTTATAATAAGAAACACATATTCAGTCTTGTCCTGTTCCTAGCACAGAGCTCCTTAAAACCCTTGGCATTTCCTGTGATGAGAGTGATAAAGGTGTCTTTTTTTTTTTTTTTTTTGGTGAGGAAGATTGGCCCTGAGCTAACATCTGTAGCCAATCTTCCTCTTTTTGCTTGAGAAAGAGTCATGCTGAGCTAACATCTGTGCCAGTCCCCCTCTACTTTGTATCTGGGACACTGCTACAGCATGACTTGATGAGCTGTGTGTTGCTCCATGCCCAGGATTCGAGCCTTCGAACCCCAAGGCAGCCGAAGTGGAGCACATGAACTTAACCACTACGCCACCAGGCTGGCCCTAATGATTTCTTGATATTCACAAGCCCCTGTCAGCCACACCAGATTTATGTTAATGAGGTGACTCTGGAAAGCCCCTAAGGATGGGGCTGGTCACCAGGGGAATCTACCTTGTGATTAGAGGGCTGGACCGTTCAGTCCCACCCCCTGATCTCCGGAGAGGGGAGAGGGGCTGGAGGGTCAACCAATCACCAGTGGCCAGTGACTTCATCAGTCACACCTGTGTAATGAGGCCTCCAGAAAACCCAACAGGACGGGGTTCCAAGAGCTTCCAGGCTGGTGGACGCGTGGAGGTGCTGGGAGGGGTGGCTCCCCTGGAGAGGGTGTGGAAGCTCCTGCCCTTTCCCCAGACCTGCCCTCTGCGTCTCTTCATCTGACTGTTCCTGAGTTATATGCTTTCACGGTAAACCAGGGATCCAGTAAGTGAAATGTTTCCTGAGTTCTGTGAACCGCTCCAGCGAATTAATCCAACGCTAGGAGGGGCCCTGGGAACCTTCTGATCTAGAGCCAGTCGGTCACAAGCACAGGGGACACCTGGACTTGGGATTGGTGTCTGAAGTGGGGTGGTCTTGTGGGACTGCGCCCTGTATCTGTGGGGTCTGACGCTGCCTCCAGGCAGACGGTGTCAGAATGGAGTTGAACTGTGGGACCCCCAGTGGGAGGCGCAGAATTGTTTGGTGTGGAGAAAGAACCCTCACATCAGAATTGGGTGTAGAATTGTACAGACAAAAAGTTTGCAACCAGCAGAGCCTAACTTAAAATTTAAAAAATTCTAAAGGATGACTAAGCAGAAGGAAAGTCCCATAGCAAAAATCCCATAAGAGAAAGTCTAAAAGGCGAGATTAGAATGAATAGGGAAAGAAAA